AAACATGAAAACACGTTTCTTTTCATTGAAACAACAATCGATATTTACTCGATATTTGTTCCACGTACACAATTATTCTTTACATTCCGAGCAAACTTTATCAATACATATCGCCCCCTCTCTATTACAATATAATAAGTCTAACACGCTTTATCTGAAGAAAGTAAAAAAATCCCATTGTGATAAGTTTAATTATTTTGATTACGTTGCAGATATTTTCCAATAATTTCTTATGCAACTTAAAAAATAAATATATCGTTTTCCTTTCAAGTGCAAGTAAAATTATTTGCTTGTGTTTCACTAAAGATTTTATTTAATTGTTTTATATGCCACAAAATTTGCAGTACTTTATTTTAAAAAATCAATTTAAATTTATTTATATTATATTTTCCAAAATACTCTTTTAAATATATTCTTAATAATCACAATATAATATATAATTGTAAATAGTCCAAGAAGCATTCAAACTAATATAATCTACAGCACATCGTCTATCGTATATATTTTTACTGAAATTTATGTAACAATGATTCCTAATAACAATATAATAATAATAATTCACATCAAAATCTAGACTTGCACGTATTATACTGCTTCATTCTCTCTGACATCTTAAATATATAGTCTTCTATCAATATTTGCAGTATTAGTGACAATATTTGAGATTCAAAGGAACGAGTCTCCAGGCGACGGAAAAACCAACACCTGCTTCCAAGTATGGAATCAAAGTTGAGGAGCGTAATCAGCGACCGCGTTTAAAGCGGAATCAAAATTTGCGTGAGTCACACGCTCGCCATCGAGTAAGGTGGGGCAAGCTTTTATCAACCGGCGATAAGCGAAAGCATCAAGGAAAGGCCGGTGCCGGTTGCACGTACATACTCGTCTCCCAACATGTAGGTGATACTCCGTCGAGACTCGTGCATGGAATCGGTGACTATCGGCCACCGCCCGTGTCCTTTTTTCGTCGCGGTTCTCCCTGAATACCTGACCGCAACGAATTTCGTCCTTGACCATAGGACCAGGTTTCCTTTCAGAAACTTTACGCACCGTGAATATCGCCCGTGTTTATTACGAAGGTAGGTAGGAGAGAACGAGAGAGTGCTCGGCGAAAAATGATCTGAAATGACTGAAATTCGTCCATTCTCCCATCCGAAACTTATAGGTTGTATCTGATAATTGTATACGTGAAGGTATCTAATGATGAAAATCCATAGGTGCCTTTTGCTCGATATTAATTAACTCTCGTACATTGGACCGACAGAGACCTGCAGTGCAGGTATGTGAGAGACGAACGTTTTTACTTCCCACACACCGCAATTATCTCTTGCAAAACAACTTTCTTCATGATATTTTTATACCATGATAATTCGTTACCTTATCTTATACTTTGCATCACAACCGCGCGTACTTTTATGCATGTTTTTCCCAAATGAAATCCGATATTGCGTATCAACGTCGTAAAATATACAACACATTTTAAAGACGTACTTGCATTATATTATAGTAATAATTTTTTTTTCAACTGCTATTATTTTGTAGTAATATATGTAAAAAACTATATACATCTAGTAATAGTTAAAAAATATAGTATACATCATGCACTAAAAATGTTACATCAATAGCACTATTTTAATTACAAATAATTTTATTCAATAACATTAAATGAAACTATTAATGAAACAACTATATCATGTTCTTATTTTGATAAAATTTTATTTGTTTTATTATTAGGTACTGTTATTGAATAAATAATATTATTTTTAATCAAAATAATGCTATTAGTATTATAAACATACTTTTTTTAGTGTAATTAAAAAATCAAAAGATATGATGTTCAAAAATTTAGCATTTTACTATTAGAAAAAAAAAAGATAGTTAAATATTTAAATCGCGCGCTTTTTCTCGATCGAATTCATTCGCGTCTCCCACACGCATTTTTCTCTTTCCGGTTCTCTCCTCCTTCTCTTTTATATGTCTTCTCTTTTCATCTGCGTCTTACGTCTCTCACCTTCGGTCTGCCGACATTTCCGATATATCTCGCGCGCGGATTAATTCCAGACGAGGACGAGCAAGAGCCGTAGTGAACCAAGAGCTATCTTTAGTTCGTCTTACAAGCGAAAGAGAATCGGCCTTTCGCTCATTGCATTGGTTGGAACAAGACAGCGACCGATTTCGCGATGATTGCTATTTTTCAAAACGTGCCTGTCAAAACCGAATCGATAATCGACAAAAATGCAATACCCGAGAATACAAACGAGATGCTGGGTTTTCTTTTCTTTTAAATAAATTCTCCGCGGCCACACCATCAATCCTGATTTCAACATCACGCACGACTGCAACGACGAATATATTTTTCTGATCGAATAAACAGAGGATAAATGATCTCAGAAAATTTCAAACGTATCAAGATATATGGTGTGGTCTGAAACATGCATACATTTTACGGTAGAAAGACTCGTGGCCGATCTTAATCGCTTATTGCTTAATAACAGAAGTAACGATATTTCCTTAGGATTATTGTAATTATTGCCAATCCATCTGTAGTCAAGCATTCAGTGTTTTGATATCGTCGTGTTAAAATAATATCGATATGTCATTAAAAATTAATTCGCCTATCCCCACCGAGTAATCAAATATCTTATCTCAATATATAAAGATTGTAAGAGAATCAGTATCGCTTGCATGTACACTGTTAAATTCATAATGTCAAATTATACTCAATTTAATCAATTTTTTAATCATTTCTATAAGTTGCCACTGCTCCTCAATGCGTCGTTAATTTAACTGAAACAATGAAATTGGACGAATTAATTCAAGAAAACGTATCTATTAAATTTGACTCGAAAGTTTATTATTCTCTACTAAGTGCATAAATGCATTAATATGGACATTCTTTAAATTCCACAAGAATAGATTGATTTATATTTTGACACATACAAAAGTTAAAAGTAACAAAATGTTATTCAAACTCAAGAGATTGGATTACCGCGTAACTCCTTTGATATTTAACTATGCAAAAGAGACACACGGCTAGGGTGATTATTAATTCTCATTTCAGTAACTTGGAACTGAAACAACCAATAATCTATTAAGCTGTAAAGTTTCTTTCTCACATGTATAGAGAAACGAATGTTCCAGCATGGAAATTTCCTCTCTTCCACACCCGTGTGCCGGTGTGATATAGCGTTCCACTTTCGAGCTATTGATTTATTTATCCCGTTCATCTATAGTCAAACGCAAAAAGCAAAAGGCTACATAACTCCAAATATAAACGTGTTTTTTCCACGCGACAAACTCCGACTTTAGCAACCGAAGACGAGGAATACTGTCGTTTTTGCCTTACGCGTTCCCACCGTGTGTCGGTCCGTAAATATTTTGAAGCTGTCGTAGCTAGTCATCATAATCATCGAGAATTTCGCGTAATTTCGCGAGGCGATTAATTTTCACGGCGACGTGCACGAATTAATAATGCCAACGCGAATTCGAAGTCAAGCTCGGGGACGTGGTGAGTCACCGCGGTGCCTTCGCGCTACGAGGAACATATTAATTCTGCTACGCCCCGGAGAGAGACGGAAATTCCGACGTTTCTCGAAAAGTTGTTGGGAAAATTTCGGAGTCGGTCAGTGACTCTTATCGAGCCTTTTTGTTTTCTTTTATCGAATAATTTGAACCTTTTCTTAAATTTTCTTATCTAGCTGTATTTTGTCTTCACCTTGAATTCTTCTCCGACAAAAATACAACAGATCTCAAAATTTTCTCACAAAATTATAATTCTAAGATACAAGCAAACCATATTTAAGAACTATTTTATAGACAATTTTTTGCAAGCGGTTGGTTAACTCCAATTAGATCTAGTATTTCATTTTCTACTTAATTTGTAGTTTAGACTTAACTTCATGATAATGTATTATAAAAGTTGTGTCGTTCTAGATATGATTAATCACAAAACTGACGGTTTTTAGTGGTAACTAAAATTTTTGTGAAATCATCAATTTACTATATATATATATAGTTAGAAAAATACAATTTTTACATTATGAAGAATTAAGTCTAAACCACAAGTTAATTAGAAAACAAAAAATCAAGCTTGGTTTCTAGCTATAGTTAATCATAAAATTGATTTAATGATAACTTTAAAAGTTATTCACTACAAAATTATCAATTTAATGATTAATCGTAACTAGAAAAATATTTTTACGTTGTCATTAAATTAAATTCAACTACAAGTTAATTAGAAACTGAAGCATCAAGCCTCAGAGTTCGATTTAAATCGAAAGATTTTGCTCCAAAAGGTTCTGGCAAAAGGAAGGAATGAAGGAACGTTTTAAATCGAGGTTAGAGTTAACCGACGTTGGAGGAACCGGCCCTACGGGATGCGTGGAAGGGCCGGTACGCATCTGGCACTTGCACCTGCATCGCCGCGGCTTTTCGCAAGACCATCTCCCGAACTTTCAATTCTTAACCCTGCGAAAGAACAACAGAACGAAAGAGAGAAGCGCCAAATCATTTGCAGTAAAAATGACTGGGACCCATTCATTTTAAAAACGTTCATAATGACGGGTCAAGTCATTAAAACGAAATTGATTTTCTCGCGTCTCTTATTTACATTTCCTTCCTCGAAAAGAATAGTAAAACAAATTTGTCATATATTTTTCAGAGTTATTCTCTCGACGCGATAAACTTGGAGCTCTAATTTTTTTTACCCTTTTGATCGGAATTAAATAAAATCTCCGCGGTGTACAGAGTTTTACGTCCAAGGGTTCCCGAATTTCGAGTCTCTCGACGAACTCGGAGTTCGTCTTGGATTGGAACTCGAGAGAAGGAAAATTGGGTTAGCGACGAGCATAAGGTCATCCTCGGGTGGCTCCGGGGAGAAAAGCGAGATTTAAATACCACTTGGGTAGAATGAATTGGAAGAACGAGCCGCTGAAATATCGCGCACCGGGAAACGAGGCAGGCGCAACAACGCCAGGAATAAAAGGAGTCTCGCGCGCACTCACGTAAATCAGTCCGGAGTAGTATCGGTCCTTGAGGTTATGCAGAACGGAGGCCTCGTTGAGACAGGTGAGCTCGGCCATGTCCTCGACCTTGTCGAACTTGGGCGGATTCATCTTCTGTATGTCGTCCTTGGCGACGAGCACGCGCTTACCGGTCTCCGCGATCTCCACCTCGACCTCGTCGCCGCGCTCGCCCTTGATGCCGGCGGCGACGAAGCCCTGCGTCTCGTGCGGCACCCACACCAGCTTCTTCTGCGTCCATTCCGCTTGGGTCGCCGGATCGTTGAAGCTGTTCCTGTCGACCGACAAGATACGCAGCTCCGGATCGGACCGGTCTACCCTCGAGTCCACGTCCGCCATCTTTGTTTTAGCGAGCGCGCAACACGACGCGACGGCGGCAAAGGTGCTGTGCTGCTGCTACACGGGCCTCTGCCCCTTGTGCGCTCCCGACTATACTTTCTCTCGTTTCCCTGGCCGCGCGCGCGCGCGCGCGTCACACCGTTATCCGTTAGCTGGAACGCGCGCGCAACGTTCGCGACTATCCGCGCGTATTGTGTATTCCGCGCGACACGATCGACTCGGAGTCGAGCCCTGACGACGGCGACGACGACGGTTGCCGCTACCAGCTGTCGCCACGATGCGCGACCAACGGACGAGTGCGGCACCAACACCACCGCCACTATCAAATACTACACCACCACCACCACCACCACCAGCACTGCCGCCACTACCACGACTACCACTACCACTGCTACGGACGGACTCGCCCTCCGTGCTTTCGAAAATGTTGTCGCACCGGCGACGGCCAGCGACGGCAGATCGCACATGTAACAAGAACGGATCTGTGCGGGTGCGAGCTTTTTTACTCTCGTAGCGAACCGCTCTCTATCCTCTCCCTTTTGCTTTCCCGTTTACCTCGCTACCTCTCGACTCACACGTCTCTCGACCGCGCCGATCACAACTGCCGACGATCCACGACGATCCTCGTCGAGCGTGACCGCCTGCGGCACCGCGCCACATTCGTCTCCTGCTCCCCACTCCTTTCTCGATCGACTCGCACGTCCCAATCAGAACACCCTCCCGCTCTCGAACGACTTCACTAGACGCTAGGAACATACGAATTTTGATACAAATACTCTCGTCTAATTTCAGGTTGAATTAGGTCCGACTTATCGAACTCGAATCGAGGCCAAATAAATCGATTGTCTATGAAACAATTTCCAAGCATTCGATTTATTTAAACTTGCACTATATTGACTTAACTCCTCTCAACTAATAATCTTTGATTAACTAATGTCCACCTTTTTTTCTACCTCAATCAAAATGAATATATTTACTAACTTTACTCAAAGTTTACTAATTCTTAAAACTAGAAAAAAAAAATATAAGATGTAAGTCAAATTCAGGTTAATTTTATAAACCTGATTTCTTATATTTTTCTAGTTTTAGAAAAAAAATTAATACATATTTATATTCGATATAAATTATATTAAATCAATATCATAAGAAGTAAATTTATCTACATGGATAGCGAATTTATATAAATAATGTTATAAACGTTAATCGACGATTAGTTCGAACTTCGACATACAGAATTGATAGTACAATAGAAATTCTAACTAGAAATTGCCATTTAAATTTCCAATCTTTTTCTTTATAATAGAATCTCGATTTAATAACTTACCAAAAGGCGTATAAGGTATAGGCTTCCACTACAATGCCTTACTGATGAGATTCAGTACCCTGATAGCAAAACCGATTACAAAACCGTAGCCATCCGCGTCCGCATTTGGCGACAACATTTGCTGACAGTGACATGTTTTGCAGCAGATTGGTTGCAAAAACCGAGCAGAGTTTGTTGACAATTTTTGATTGCAGAAAGGCAACAAATTGTAGACAGAGTCTGCGTATTACCAAATATTGTCAGCAGACTCTGTTCGGTTTTTGCTACCAATCTGCTGTCAGATCATGTCGGCAGACTCTGCTCGGTTTTTGTCACCAATCTGCTGCAAAACGTGTCAGCAAATGTTGTCGCCAAATCCATAGCCAAATGCGGACGCAGATGGCTACGGTTTTGTAGTCAAGATCTGATCGAGTTTGCCGCCAATTTGCGCGCAAATTGGCATCATTTTGCTATCAGGGTAATAAACTGCTGCCAAACTGCTGTCAACGTCTGCTGACATGTTTTTGTCAGCAGACGTTGACAGCATGTCAGCAGATTGGTAGCAAAAGCCGAACAGAGTTTGCTGACAATACAGACTCTGTCTACAATTTGTTGCCAATTTGCAATCGAACATTATCAGCAGGTTCTGCTCCAAATCTGTTTCCGCAGGCTTTGCTATCAGGGTAGTGGAAACCAGGACGAAACGCCAAAAATTACATGATATTCTTCGCAATATATAATATTAGAATAAATTATCAGATTTAGATTTTAAATTGTAATTTGACTCTTATTCGCCCTCTGTTTAACGTATTAATTATTATTCTAATCTTTGCTTTCATGTATTTTAAACAAAGAATTGATTCTATCCATATTTATATCGTAAATATCACTTGATAAATCAATTGTCAGAGCATGGTTGAAATTGTTTATTGTTATTATAATTACTCGAGCTAAATTTAATCAGACACTATAAGAATTTTCAGTTATCGATGCGACCTTAGAAAACGTTGCTTCACGTTATTTCATGTTGTGCTATTTATAAAGTCTGTTTTCCGTGGCTGAACTAGTGTACACTTTTAGAACTTAAAGTGAGATAGCTATATTATGTTTGATGTTTGACGAAAGAGAGTTCTAGTGTCGTTAAGTGCAGGAATAAATAAAAACAACTATGTTAATGCATGATGTCAGACCTAGTCAGACCTGTCCAACATTTTACTCGCCAGCACTTGCCAATTAGTTGCATTGGCACAGTCATTGTGAGTGTAGATAAAATATTTTTCAAACTTCTTAACAATCAACTGCTACTAATTATGATCCTAACAAATATTATTTATATTAGCTTAAAACGTTTATTCGACTTACACATATCTTTTTCATTAAATTATTGCTCGATTTGAATCCATTTCGGAATACAGCGTCTCGCCTCTTTGCTATTATAAGTATGAAACATAAGATTGACATAATTAAATGTTGTATATCTAACAAAAATTAAATTTAAAAAGTGTATTGAAAAATATTCATTTTTATAACAATTTTTTAATATTTTTTTAATCTCGTTTATATATGTATATATAATATATATATTACCGCTTTTCCCAACTAACAAAATAAAACAAAACTGAGTGTTTTATACTTCCAGTTAAGGCTGTAAAAGAAGAAGCGAATAAAGTATTAGATCTACTAATCTACCTTTATCTTCAGCATTTTTGTATTTGCATGTACTAGCGAATTTATTATTGACATCATGCGATAATATCTTATCGCTGGAATACTCTTATCACAGAAATTATCTCGAAAAAATTATAATATCAAGTGGATATCGAACAAAATTTAACTATTATATCTTACACGTAATTTCCAATTAAATATAAATTTGAAATCGTCGTAACAAAATATCATACATGTTAACTGAATATTTAATTATTTAGTATAATAATAAATATAAAATTTCATATAAATTCATTTTACATTTAAAATATTTTAAAATAAATTAGCTGAAATTTGAATTCAAGTCAGTGTTAAAAATATTCTAAAATAAAAATTAAATTCTCGACATTCTTTCTATATTTTCGCCTTATCACCTTTTGTCGAAAATCTATACATAAACTTTTACAGACTTATATGATCCTTTAGACATGAATAATTCCATCGTTATTACGTTTATAAAACACAATAATTATGTCACTTTATTTCTATTTCAACAATTTCTGTTTTATCTTTCTATTAATATGTAAGCGTATCATAAATATTATATGTAAACTATTAGCTTAATGTTTTTTTTTTTCGTTTACGTCATGATATACGTTACTACGCATGAATGTTGATATCAGCAGATAAATACAAAGTCGGTGTATATAAGCGCGGCATCCTACAGAATCGTACTCAGTTAACTCGACGCGTCCATCAACGTTGATCACAGTTAATCCGACCAGCAGGATGTCATATGGTGCAGTAAATGAAGGCATTCATGATTACGCGAAACAAAATCATGTAAGTAAAAAAGAAACAGCGTCCAGTTCTTTTACTACGTCTATTTACATAATTCTTTCTCTAAGTGAAATACAAAAGTCACAATAATATTAATATATATAAAACATAGAATCATAATGGTGGCATGAATAAGGACATGATTATGACTTCGTTCGGCATTTATAAATTTGCTTGTAACATCATATTCCATGACATATAAAATCATAATGTGTATGACCTATGATATTACGATTTTATGTTCAATAATATAAAATAAATTGAACTCTCGAGATTTAAAACAATTATAGTAAATGTAAAATTAATTAGCGGGCAATTGAGAGCTAAGAATAAACGCAGTTATTCACGCGTATAATTAACAAATGTAATCAAGAACGATCTTGCGAATTCAATGTAAAATCGTTCTTGATTAAATACATTTATTAATTATACGCATGAATAACTGCGTTTATTCTTAGCTCTCTATTTCCCGGTAATTAATTTTACATTTATCATCATGATTTTATGTTCTATCTCTCACCATAGATTAATAAATTTAATCGGCACGGTTTATTTAATTCATTACTATTCATTATATCCTATATAATTTGAATAACGTCCATGAGAGAATAGGTATATTATTGTAATTACGTCATGCTTATCGCATGCATGGGGAAGTACACAGTGTATTGTAAACAAATCTGCGTCCTTGAGATATTTTCGAAGATGAAAAGGCAGTAGGATATATTTCATTGAAATTCGAGTTATGTTTCGTGGAGATCGTTCTAAGTTAAGTATATGATTACTAGGCCATTATCGTCGATCTACGAAGCGACACGATTACGAAGCCGAATGAGGCAATGAGAAAAGCTATGTTTGAAGCGCAAGTTGGAGATGATGTCTTTGAAGAAGACCCTACAGTAAAAGGTAGCGAAAACATTTGATTTTAGATTGTAAATCGAAAGGACGTGTCTGTTAAATCATGTGTGTATCACGTAATTAAAAAAATGTAAATATTAAACTAACGATGTCAGCATTGTAGCCAATATTGTGACAAGAATTTAATCCCGCTAGCAAATAAGAAAATAAACATTGTATATGTCATTGACTTTACTTTCCTATTCAAAACCACTTTTTTCAGGTTTCACAATCAATTTTATTTCTTATAAAAAACATTATTTCAACTCGAGATTTGGTAATTTGTATGTCCTGTTTAAAATGCCAAACTTCTATAATGATTTTCTCTTTTTATTCACTTTTTCTTTTAATAAATTATAGTTATATTTCATTTGCTCTTATATATTATTGGTTGATCAGTTTATATTTTTTTTTAGAATTACAAAAGAAGGCTGCGACGTTACTTGGAAAAGAAGATGCACTTTTTGTTAGCTCTGGCACTATGGGGAACTTGATCGCTGGTAAGAGCTGAAATATCTCGCATCTTCTTTTGAACTCAAGATTAAAAGATTAACGAATTTATTTTTGTTCATTTAATTGATTATGAAAAATGTGAAGAAAGATCTTTTCATATTCAAATTATAAAATTTTTCGTTGGATGCATTTAAAGAAAATTTACTAACTGTCTTTTTTCTCCTTCCAGTTATGAATCATTGCGATGTGCGTGGCAGTGAAGTGTACTGCGGAAACCAATCGCATGTGTTCCTTCATGAACAAGCTGGTGCGGCGCAGATAGCTGGTGCGAGCTTCCATATCTTGCCCAACAACGATGATGGTACGTTCGATCTAAAAGGCTTTGAAAGAGCGATTCGCGCGGATCGGATACACGAACCGGTCTCGAAACTCGTCATGGTAGAAAATACACTAAATGGAAAGGTCATACCTCAATCGTGGATCGAAGAATTGGCGGTAATAGCGAAAAAGTATAATCTTAAAATGCATTTGGATGGCGCGCGACTGTGGAATGCCTCGATTGCGTCGAAGATCTCGGCGAAGGATATAGTCGCTCCATTCGATTCAGTTAGTTTTTGCTTGAGCAAAGGATTGGGTGCTCCTATCGGATCCTTGCTCTGTGGAAGCACGAGCTTCATCGCTAACGCGAAAAGAAGGCGCAAGGTGCTAGGTGGTGCGATGCGACAGGTCGGTGTGATCGCCGCGGCCGGAATCGTCGCTCTGGAGACAATACCACGACTAGTAGAGGATCACAGAAGAGCATCGATTATCGCGAAGGCGATCCATGAATTGAATTCTAAAATATTTAGTGTAAATCTGAATACCGTCCATACCAACATGGTATTCGTGAATGTGAATACCAACAGTGGCGTTTCCGCCGCGACTCTCATGAAGAGGCTCCTCCAAGTAAACAACGACAAACCGGAAGATTCCTGTGAAGACGACAAGATTATAGTCAGATGTATGGCTGTTAAGGAAAATTTGCTTAGAATAGTTCTTCATTGTGATGTCGATGATACGATGATGAATAATGCTATTCGTAAATTAAGATATGTAATCAAAGAATTGGATCCTCAAGTAACAATTTAAATTTTTTCACAAAATTCTTTAAGAACAATAAATTAAAAAACCTCGAAGTATAAAATATTTACTTTAATGTATATTAAAATATATCTATATTAAATGAAAGTTTTAATGATTAAATTTTTAACGTTGATAATAGCATAATACTTCTATTTTAAAATTTAATAAAAAAATACAGTTACAAATAAAAAAAAATAAATTTGAAAATTAAAATCTGCTTGAAAAATATTTTTCTTTCACTGTATTGTTATACATTTATAATAAGTCACATTATAGTTTGAATAAATACTAAATAATGTATCTTACAACATATTCCTAGATAAAATTTTCGTATGTATATCTATTAATCAAAATGTCTGAATTTTTATTAATTAATTGTATCAAAAAGTATTTGACTAATAAAATTCCATGAATCAAATATTGTATTGAAATCTTGTCATTTATTTTCTTTATAATACTTTTGTTTCCACAAAAATTTATTAAAAGCAATCTATTGCAGATTAATGACGAGCGTAAGTATAATTAATGTGGAGGTTGTTAACTTTGAAACGCATCATTAACAGGCTCATCGTCATCCTCATCTTCCTCGCCTTCGCTTTCAAAGGTATTATCAGGAATATCATATAATCGAATCATAGGCTTGTTTGGATCCTTCATTATCAAATATTTGCCATCCTTCTGCTTCATGCAAATGTCGATGATACATCTTAGGATGCCCCATGCGTTGTCCATGTTCAAATTAATTTGCGTCGCAAATTCATTCGGTTTGTACTGCTGAGTACCGAGAATCACGTGTTTGCTTGAGTCTCGCACTATGGCACGTGATACGTATCCGAATTTCAGCTGATCCGAACCGGCTAGTAACGCCTGAACCGTCCATTTGGCGAGTTTACAGGCGTTATTGCGCAATTCGTTAGCCAAAACCGCGCCACGTTGCGTGTCTAGCTTCTGACGCCACTCGACTCCATTAGCCAGCTTCGAATCCCATTCGTTCAACGCTTTGATCGTCAGGAATTGATTTTCATTGTTTGGACCTTGCATCACGGCATCGTGTTCACATCGGGCAACAAGTACTATGCCATTGTTAAGATCCCATTTACGATAACGATAAGCCACACTGGCCACATCGCTCTCTTCTTCCTCAGCAATGAATGGATTCCCTTCCTCGAACTTGTATCGTGATTCATTTGATTTCAGCACCTGCTGTGAGAAATTGTGATTGATGAAAGTCGCCTCGAGGGCTAAATTTCTGGGTGAATTCAACGAATTTCCATCGTCCTGTGGCGGCTCGACGCTAGTCTCGTTTACGGTCAAAAGATCAAACTCGGTGTTATCTCTTTTATCAAAGAACAGCTTGTCACCAATCTTTTCAATGACGATGTCCCACGAATAATTGCTACGTGTACAGCACATAATTGTAGCCAAGATCGCATCAGTGGCATATACATTGCCCTCAGTTTTCGATAATTTTCGAACTATTGGATCATCGGTAGTTGTGACCGTGTGGAAAATACGATCGATTCTCTGTAGCGGCTTCTCGCTTTTGACGTTTACGCGATCGTACGTTTTGTCATAATATTCAAGCGAGCCGCAGCATGATATATCTTCGCCATCTTTCACACCAGGCAACGAGAGCTTAGCCAATCGAGGAAAGTCCATTTCCTCGATGGTTATCCAGTCAGGTCGTACTGTTACAGAAGCATCTCGGATCTTGATAGGCGGCTGATTCTTATGATTGCGTAGACCTTGTTGCCTACCCCAACGCTTCGCTTGTCCTTTACGCTCTCGTTCTCGCAATTTGAGCTTTCCTAGCTGCTGCATCTGACTCAATGCACCACGTTGACCACCGCGGCCACGCAAGTTGCGCTGATTGTGACGGAAGCGGCCACGTTGATACGGTGGCTTCTGCACACGGGTGGTGTCCACCAAATGAAAGGTGGTTTCATCTTCATCGTGATAATAGGCATATTGACTGCCTGAACCAAACTGCGATGTATATTTGTCTACAAAAATAGCAATATTAATATTAATTTTATATATATACATAATTATACTAATTGTAAATTAAAAAAATGGATTAAATTTTCAGATGTAATACAAAAAACATGCTACATCAAAAAAATCTTCCAATAGTTGTACATCTTATATGTAATGTGACAATAATATATTGTAAGTGATATATTATAAGTTTAAAATAAATATATTGAATCTAAAATTTATTCAGTTTAGCTAAACTTTTTTCACTATTATTCATCTCTTTTTTTGCCTGTTATTCAATATGGAGAAAAAACTTTTTTAAATGAATGGTACAAAAATGTTAATAAGTATCTATTCTATTTGACAGAACTTTGGTCATAGATAACATTTAAAAAACAAAATTATTAATTGTTATATTAAAATATTTGTTATTGTTCTGTCAGATTTTATATGATACAAAAAATTATATACCTAGATAAAGGTAATAAAAATAAAATAATTCTATGTATATATTAATTAGAATTTGAGCCAATATATGACAAGCATTTGACACGTATGCATCTGTCAAATCTTGTTCCAGATTCAATCTTAGGGATGAACACAAATAGAGTCCATCGTCTTCAATTAAAGATAACATATGACGTAAAAATGCCAACAAGACTCCCGCCTAAGGATGCGTTCCGTTTCTCGCATGGTGCGCATTATGCATGGTTTATCCTTGTTGCTCACCAAATAGTTTAACATTTCATATCATGCGCGATATGGAACGCATTTCAAGATCAAAGTCTCCCGATCTTTGAGGTTAAACGCACGTGAGTGATAAAGCGAAATACGTACTTGGGAACTTTTTGTCCTGGAAAGCAGGCGTAGTCCAATCCGAGATCTACGGAAAACAGCAAACTGATAGTTAAGCGCGGTTTTGGAAGAAGAAAATAAAAGGTCGAATAAGCCTCGGCAACACTCACCTTGCCCAATCTGTCGCCTTTCGAAAATGGCTGGTAAGGAATGTCCTTAAATTGATCCGGCAATTCGCAGGGACCCCAGCCGTCCGGATTGTGCTGAATCGCCGGCGCCTGGAAGTGCGCCGCAACTTCCTCCTTCTGGGCAGGATCGTCCAGCACCACTACGTCTGCGTCCGTCATGCCGATGCTCGATGTTCGTTACACATCGATGGCAAGACGAGACACGAACAAATGAGACAATCCACCGCGCTCCACCAGTCCACCTCCACCTCCGGAGTTACCGGAAATCCTGTCCGCGCCATCTTCCTCGTTTGCTGCATCGCAGTGCTGTCAATCCATTTATCCATGAGAAAACTTAGGCAACATCAAAATCACTATAGAGCGACTTCGATTAATATTCAATTAGCTCTTTAATTTCGATTTGTTATCTTTTCCTAAAAAAAGGAAGATAATTAAATCCATATTGAACTTAATCTATGTGGTAAAATATATATATATAAAAATAATACGATTAACAATTAATATTCGACCGACTTCAAGAATTATTTCTGATATTTATATTAAATATTCAGAAAAAATAAAGAAAAAATATAATATAGAAAAAGCAATTGAATTTATTGCTTTCAATTAATAAAAATATACGCATAACTATAAAAATTCATTCTTTGTGCATTGCTCCATAATTAAGATTATTATTTTATATTTATATATTGACTACTTTTTATTACTTTAAATATTATGCGCTAAGTTTATATTTCAATTTATTTTTTTACAAAATTTCGAAAAATTGCATACCTTTATCAATAGGCCTTTTTTTTTCTCTGCACTGTGCCCACAGTGTAGGCAAAAAGAACAAGCATAATATTTAATTCATGGAATCCTTTTACTTTCCACTCTCGCCATCTCGTCTTTCAAAGCTGTTAGCTTCTGCTTCAGTCATTCAGTGTTGTCAGTGATTGTCTTGTGAAGAAAATTTGGAGTTGTGTATACGTGTTAAACATAAAAGTAAATACATTAACTATTTATTAACGTACACGCGTAATGTGTAATTTTTTTAATGTATTGCCATCTGTTTTTATTTCTGAATGAACGAATAATATATTCAATTTATTTTAACCTATTTTGAATGGGTATAACCAACAAATGTTATTGCATTTATTACGTAAGAGACGTCCGAAAGACGATTAATTTTTATTCTGACGAAATTCAACAAGATAGAAAAAATTATAGTTCAAAAATTGTAATTATCTCAATGTGTAATTGAGATTAATTAGATAATTTACGCTTGCTGCATAAGAAAGAAAAATTACTCATTGATGACAAAAACATAGATATTCTCCCCTAAAATTATACGTGACTTATTTTTTAGGCAATCATGCTGAGATCACGTCTTACTAGTGTGCCGAAAACTATTAAGCGTAACATCAATACCAACGTTCCTGCTTTACAGAAAGCAGTTGATCCCATACAACAGCTGTTCCTTGACAAACTCCGAGAATACAAGTCAAAAAGCGTGTAAGTATACTTTTCCAGATTAAACAATTTTTTTGAGAAACATTTTTGTAACGAATATTATTTATGTCTAGTACGGAAAAATAATATAATTAAATTTTTAGTGTAAAAGAAACTAAAAGAACTATCTATGTTTATTCTATTTGTGTTTGTTCATTATTGTATTGTTCTATTTAGAAAAGACAACATTATTAATCAGAACAATAATTTGTATTCTACTCAAATATATTTGTCTCTAATTAAAAATAAAATTAGAAGAGTTAAGAATCTTTTACATAGCTACAAAATATCAAGATGGAACGAATAAATCAGATCATTAAATATTTAACTAGTGTATTTTTATGTTATGTCAAGATGTCTAAAATAATGTTAAATGGTATAAAAAATTTTTTTTTATTTAAAGAGGTGGGAAATTAGTTGATCCCAGTCCAGAAATTACAAAAGAACGAGAATCTGAATTAGAAAAACTTAGCATACAATATGGTGGTGGTCCAGGAGTAGATATGACGCAATTTCCTCAGTTTAAATTTGTTGGTAAGTTACATGTTTTTCAGATAGATATTTGTTTTATATTGAAAAAAAAATTGTTATAATTTTGCGTATACATACAAATATATAAACATATAGCGAAAACAATTTAATATATACTATATTTTATTTTAGATCCACCTATAGAGACGAGTGTTAAAAAGTGAATATGCATATATCGATATGTGTCATAGGACATTCATGTACTGTTGAACTATTAAATATTAAGTAAGTCATCTTAAAAATATATACAGCTATAAATTATTTCATTCTGTTTTTTTTTAAACCTAAGTCCAAAACAAAATAAATTTATAAATTTAGTGATAAATTATCATAAAGGAAGAAAATCTTGATTTGGTTACTAACTAGTAAACAGTTTCGTGTTATCTACTATCTCTGCTAAAATATTCATTTTACATTTTGTGGCTATAGATTTACATATATTTACATAGCTTGTGACTTCGTCTCTTGAGATTAAATTATTATATTCGCCTGAGCAAGAACATAACAAGTTCATGTTTTCTCGTTTGATCTCTTTACACTTTTGACATTGTAGATCTTGCAATACGTAAGCCATACTTTTACGATTCAATTTGTCAATCAGTGAAAATTCTATTTCTGTATTGTCGTAAGATGCATCACAGTTAGGACATTTCCACATGAACCTACAATAATATATCTTTAGCACATATACCTTTATCTAAATATTACATTACTTTCATATTTAACATACTTGGTATTTTCATTGGTGTAATATTCATCTTTGCAAAGATCAATATCTCTTGTGCGATTGCATACTTTGCATATAACTTGTGGTAAAACAAGAGAAATACATGGTTCCTTCCACTCAACATTATCGCTATAACTGCCGACTCCAATTAGTCGTAAAAGATTTGCTTTTAAGTTGTAAACCTCATGCTCCACCTCTTTATCCAGAGATAAAACCTGAAATTTTCACAGATAATGTTTAAGCTCTCGAATAATTCAAATATTCTTGAAATATTTATAAAGGAATGTTACCTTGCATACTGCTTTGATTAATTCAAGTGCAGGATTAATTTTTATACTTTCTTTTCCATTCATATCTAAATTAGGGTATTCTTGGAGAGTTAATGTCTTTTCCGTCAAATTTCGATGTATCTTTTGAACTATTCTGTAAATAATAAGAAATATGCTCTTGAAATCATCAATGTTTCCAAGCATAAAATATCAATATTAAATTTATTTCACTCTCTTTATATAAAGCTTTATTAATTTTAAAGACTGTAAAATAGATAAATATATACTGGAATAATCTTTGAGATATTTCTTCTGATATCAATTTTTTTGCAAACTCGGCTGTATTTTCCAATGCACCTAAACCAAGTGGTGTTATAAACGATTGACTTTGGCTGCGTCTTCTTCTTGGCCTTATAGTGTTATTGGTTTCATTCTCAAGCATACATTGATGTACTGCACGTATATATCCTGCTACTACAGCATTAAAACTTGCTTGACATCCTGCTTCTATAGGCAGGCATTCCATTAAACTCCAATTCATGATTAGAAGCTAAATACAAATAATTCAATAAGTAGAAAAATATCGTTAAAGCATTATCAGCACAATTTCTACAAATGTTTATAAATATGTTTCTATTTACCGTGTCATCGTCATCATTTTCAGTATCCTCATCGTTTTCCGTATCATCTTTAGGTGACTGTCCTTTAATACCAGCGTAATTATGCTGTTGAAAAATTCAAATATATGTATAATTAAAATGTTACACAAGACATCTTATGAATCAAATAATTGATGAATCATACCAAGTCAAGCCATACTAAATATTCCCAACATTGTTCACAAGAAATATCAACACTGTGAAACAGCTCTTTGTTTTGTATAGTTTGAACAACAAACTCTATATAGCCTAAAGCATCGCTCACAGACCTTTTCTTCGTGCATACAATAATCTTATTAAAGTTTGCAAAAACTATAACACAACCTAACGTTTTAAAGTGTGCTATTAATTGTATATATAACTTTTTCATGTAAGTATGTAGAGTACGGCGTAGAGCAGGATCATAAAGCAAAGCATTTGAAGATCTTAGCCACCTGGAATCATACGAATATATTCATGCATGCTTATATAAAGTAATATATAATTAAGTAATATAATTAATAATACGAATAGTAATAACATACCGATAAAAATGGATCAATTGATAATCCGCGAATGCATTTTTATATAGAGATACATCAAGCAACCATGTGTTTACCATGTTTCGCAATATTTTAAACGCCGGATTGCATAAAGTGATTTCGTCATAACTGGGAATAACTGTTGCAGCATCACTACCCATTGCCATATCCTATAAAATAATTTAATATAATTTATATAGTTATAATATATATTATTTAAAAAGAAATTATTGTAAATCAATTTTTGAAAAGTACTGTTAATTAATTTAGAGTGCATTTTTTTAAAACAAATTTTAAATATAGTAATTTTTGATAAATGTATAAAACTCTGACCTGAACAGATGGACGCTGTTGATTGTTAAATGCCACGAACGTGCTAGTTCCGTCTATATCGTGAATATGATTGTATTGCAACAATGCACTAACCGCCAAATAATCTACTTCTAATTGGACGCAAACACTAGAATATGTGCCTGGATTATTCGCAGCGCAGCTCGAACTCTCCTCAAAGTCCATCAGTAGCCTGTTATCGTCATTCTCGCTACCACCTAAATCGGGTTTCTCCGTGGGCGAACACCACAGAACAAAATTATTCCTGTACAAATTTCTAGCGTAAAATAAATCGGCGCCAAAGAGTGAAGTATCTGCGGGTATGTTGCCAACAGGTGCATGAAAGTATCGGCATTGTTCTGTAATTAATTCGACGATCTGTTGACTCTTCAGGTAGTGATTGATCATCATTTTCGCGCCAATCTTCTGCCATTCTAACGTGCTGTACAGATTCTCAACGTCTCGCACGTTCGTGTTGACGAGAGGAAAATCATTGAGAAGTGGCATTTCTGTTGTTAACACAGTCTTGTCAAGAGCAGTTTGATTAATAATAATTGTAGCACCGTGGTTTTCATTCTTATATGTCGTTAAGGCTGCTTGCAACGTACGACACACATGTTGAAAGTTTGTTTCAGCTTGTATCATAAACTGCATTATTTCAGGCAATTTGCTTATATTGTCTTTGCCATCTGTTTCCAATATTGCTTTACGTTCGTTCGTGTATAATGCAGTCATGTTCGGTAGTTGATTGGAAGCGACTGAATCTAAGACGAATATGTGAGCTCTCCTACTGGCGCTTAAGAATAAGCCCCATATTGCTCTTTGACGGTTTGAACTCCAATGATGATAGAGAAATATATAGTTGATCAGCTCGGTTTGTTTGAGGTAAGGATGAAAAGCGATACTCTTGTATTCCAATTGATCTAGAGTAAATGTATCGGCTCCATCTACTACTTTACGCGCAGCACGCGGATCAACTATACATACGCATCCTAACTGCAATATGGCCCGAAATTCTAATGACATTTGCGTCTCGTAGATTCCTTCAATTTCTGGTTTATTTAAGTCCTCTAAGAGCTCCCGACTATGTTCTTGAAATAGAGATTCTGGCAGAGAATATCGATACAAGTTGTATACCGGGCGAGAGCGTGGTAAAGATTTGAAACTTTTTTTCCAGAGCTCGTTAGGTCCTGGATCGGGTCTTGCTTTGCGAGTGTTTACGTAAAATACTCGGGGTACTACGAGACGAACTTGATGCAGCTGTGTGTCGACCAGTATCCACAATCGAAACATGCCGGGTTCACCGGTTTCCGATAGCTGAATGATTTGCCACGGAGTTTCCAACAATTTCCTTTGAGCACGTCTCAAAAAGCCAGTCAAAGTAGACGTATTTGTATTTCGTATAACTCCCCAACCGATTCCAGCGGTTTCGTCAGTCTTACTTCTCTTCTTCCGATGCTGATTTCTTTGTTTAGCCTGGAAGGCCCACTTTTTCTTATGAAATTCCAACCATTTGAGCCTCTCTTCTCTAGTTGTTCCTTTGGGAGGAGGTGAACCCAGAGCTTCTTTCCAACTTTTGGCTCTGATTGTCTCATCTTCATCTGAATGCTGCCTTTTCCTTTTGTTAACAACCGGCATAGGGGTAGTGAAACTAGTGGATGGTCTTGCGAGGTCTTCAATATCACAGGACTCTTCGGCGCTGTTCGCATGTGAAGTGTTTTTATCTACTACAGAAAATATATCTGTAATCTTTTTTTGACGATGTGATGTACTTTTCTCCATCACTTTTTTATGTAACCATGGTGGATGTTGCACTCGTGGAACTGGATTCGGTAAGCCTTGCATCGCTGCTGGTATAGTGATTATTTTTTGAATAGCGCTTCCGAGTCGCTCAATGTAATAATTCCAATCTAAAATATCTCTTATATCATCACTGTATAAAGTAGGATCCTTCAACCACTTTTTCAAGTAATGTCTTCGCACAGCCGGTTCTGATTGAAAAATAGCTAACGGTATCGCACGCTCAGTAACTGGTGCGCTTTGCGGTTTATTCGCTATAACATATCTACAAGCTAAACCTGCATCTTTAACCATCTCGTCACCTAAGAATTCGGCTAATCTTTTAGCCGTAGAAATCGACGTGGACTTCTGTGCACCGTATTCTTCCAATTTACGCGACATGGATTTGTTTTCGGATATAAGTTCGAACAATTCGGAATCAGGCATATTCGTACATTTACTATACAGTACATCCAACCAATAATTTGCGTCCTTCGCAACCGAAGCATAACATTCTTCCAACGTATTTCCTTTTAAGAAGGATTCAAAAACAGAAGCTTGAAAAATTTTTATCAATTGCAATTCACCTCTTCTTTTTACTTCAAATCCTTTTAGTTCGGCTAGCGAACCGTCAAAATTGAAAACTGCGTACCGTTTCTTCAATTTTTTTCCTTCTTCTTTTGCAGCAGGTAACACCATTGCTAGATACGGTCCATCAACTTCAAAAAATATGGAATTTTCACTTTTGATTTCATATGTTAAATCATTTTTATCCACAAGCTCATGATATACTTCATTAGTAAATTGATCCTATGTAAAATATAAAAAATATAGTAATTACCAGAAAAAAAAAAACACTTTTTTGTTCATTTATACATACTTTTACCATGAAATTAAGGACCGCATTCGGATACGAGACCGTAAATTTCGATTTCTTTTCATGAGTAGTATGAACTATAATA